ACTACTACTACTACTACTACTACTACTACTACTACTACTACTACTACTACTACTACTACTACTACTACTACTACTACTACTACTACTACTACTACTACTACTACTACTACTACTACTACTACTACGAGGGGACCGAACGACTCGCACCAGGACGAGGTGCCCGAACGCCTCACACCACGAGGAGCCCGAACGACTCACACCAGGACGAGGGGCCCGAACGACTCACACCACGAAGAGCCCGAACGACTCACACCAGGAGGAGGGGCCCGAACGACTCACACCAGGACGAGGCGCCCGAACGACTCACACCACGAGAAGCCCGACCGACTCACGCCAGGACGAAGAGCCCGAACGACTCAAACTACGACAAAGAGCCCGAACGACTGACACCAGGAAGAAGGTCCCGAACGACTCACACCAGGACGAGAGGCCCGAACGACTCAAACCACGAGGAGCCCGAACGGCTCACACCAGGACGAGGGGCCCGAACGACTCACACCACGAGGAGCCCGAACGACTCACACCAGGAAGAGGGGCCCGAAGGACTCACACAAGGACGATGGGGCCGAACGACTCACCCCACGACGGGCCCCAACGACCCCCACCAGTCGTCGTCGTCGTCGTCGTCGTCGTCGTCGTCGCCGCCGCCTTCGTCGTCGTCGTCGTCGACGTCGTCGTCGTCGTCGTCGTCGCGGTTGTGGTCGTCGTCGTCGTCGCGGTCGATATCGTCGTCGTCGTCGGGTGCGTCGTCGTTGTTAGGATCATCGCTGTGGTCGTCGTCTCCGCTAAATCCCTCTTGCCTCCCACCGCTTTCTCTCCCTCCTCCTCCGCCTCGTCCTTCTCCCGCTCCCACCACAAGGAGGATGTACAAGGAGGCGGGAGGAAGGAGGAACAGGGGAGATATGCGGGGGCAGGCGGAAACACGCCTGAAAAACACGACTGTCGGCATGCTTCGCAAGAGTTGCTGTTTTGAGATGGGCTGGTGGGGATACGCGAAGCGTGAAGAATTGATGTCCCATTGTTTTTGCTTGATGTTGGGAATGCTCCGTTTTTCTGTCTTCCGGGCGTCCGAGACGGCCCAGGAAGCCAGATAATCGCCCCACATTCAACCCAGAGGGCTTCCAGGCAGTCCAAGTGGAACCCCGAGATGGCCCACTAGAGCCCCAAGATGGCCCGAAGAGAGCCCCATGGCGGACCAAGATGGCCCCAAGACGTCTCCCGAATCATTCCAAATCGTGACCCAATCGTCCAGGGAAGTCGCGGTTAGAAGCAGGGTGGCCCGGGGAAACCCCCAGAGGCCCCCAGAAGGTACCCAGGAGGCTTCCCGAAGGCCCCAACAAGCCCTGGAAAACCGCGGTGAGACTCCCAGGAGGCTCTCCTAGGATGAGCCTCTGCAAAATGAGCTCAGGATGGGGACGAATCCTCGGGGTAGGGCGAAAATGAGGAAGAGGAAGAGGAAACATGATATTAGCATAATCAATAACATGATTACAACGACGACGCCTGTAAATGCAACAGCGAACTATCGCTAAAAGTAATGTTTTACGCTATTGTCCTCCTGTCTGCATGCCAAACCTCAAGGACCAAAAGGCATGATGCGACGACCCAATTGCATGTTGCATTTGCGTGTGGATGCATGTGTAGATATATGTATATACTAGAACCATCGCGCGCGCTTCGCGCGCGCTCAGGTTCTAGTTGAGGCCACCGCCCAATTGCGATGCCCGCGACGATTCTTACCACGCAGACGGCGGCGTGCACTCCGCTCACGTTCGCACGCCATGTTCCGGAGGAGCGCTCCCAGAGCATGGGGCGCCAGAGGCTCCCCTGCTCTTCCCCCCTCCACTATCCTGCCGAGGAACTCTTGGGTTGCGAAGGGCCATTCTTGCGGGCTCCCTGGGGCTCTCTGGGCCCGCCTAGGGTTGTTTGGGAGCGGACCTGGAGGCGCGCTGGGCCCTATTGGAACATCGGAAAGCCGAAAAGACAAGAAGGCCAAGATCCTCCAATTCCTACGTGAAATGAGCGATTTTGGCTTGTTGGGATCCTCTTGGGGGTGCTTTTGGAGGTGTTTTGAGCCATGTTTGAAGCCTCTTGGGAACTACCTGGGGCCTCCTGGGGCTCTCTTGAAGCGGAAGCCGTGGATTTTCCGGACGCGGTCCGTTTCTTGGACACCTCTCGGGCCTGTTTTGGGGCACTCGTTGGCTGCCCTGGGCGCTTCTTGGGCCAGCCTCGGGCTCTCCGGGTCCGCCTCGGGGCGGCCTTGAGCGCTTCTGGAGCTGTTTGGGGGCGGTCTGGGCGGCCTCCTGGGCCGCCTAGGAGCGTCGTCCAGCCGCAAAGATTACAAGGCCAAAACTCTTCCAAAACTATAGTAAAACCATCGATGTTTGGCCTGCTGGGGCCCTCGTGGGAGTGCTCTTGGAAGCGTTTGGAGCCATGTTGGAAGACTCTTGGGAGCTGCCTGGGGCCTCCGGGGTCACTGTTGAGGCGGGAGCCCTGGGTGTTCGGTACGCGGTCCCTCTCTGGGGCCCTTCTTGGGCTTGTTTTGGAGCCTTCTTGGGCTGTCGCGGGCGCTTCTTGGGCCAGCCTTGGGCTCTCCCGGGCCGCCTTGGGCTTGTCTTGGGGGCCTCTGGGGCTGCTTGGGGGCGGACCTGGAGACCTCCTGGGCCGTCTGGGAGCGTCGTACAACCGAAAAAACCGAAGGCCCAAATCCTTACAAAACCGTCGGACAAATCATCAATGTTGGCCTCCCGGGGCTCTCTTGGGAGTGCTCCTAGAAGCGTCTGGAGCCATGTTGGAGGCCTCCCGAAATCTCTACCACGTGCTTCGGCGACATGGGTCGAAGATGGGAGCCATTCCTGTTCCTGGTGCAGAAACATCGCCAAGGTCCGTCCAGAGTCGCTCGGGAGATGCCCCGGAGCGGCTCTGGAGAGGCCCAGGGGGGGGTCCCCCCATGGCGAATCGAGGCAGCTGGCCAGAGGCCCCTGGCCCCGTACCCCGATATATATATATATATATATATATATATATATATATATATATATATATATATATATATATAATATATATGTATGTATGTATTCATGTATTCCTATTCGTAAATTTTTATAGGGCCGGGAACGCCGGAAAAAAAAACGCCCCCCCCCCCAAACGAATGTGGCCCTCCCCGGGCCTCTGGGCAACCCTTCAGACGACCCGGGAGAACCTCAGGAGGGCCCGAAGACGGCCGCAGACAGGTTGCAGGCGGTCCGGCGCGCTCCCGAAACGACCTTCCAGGCAATCCAAGAGAGCCCTAAACCGGCATAACAGGAGTCGACGGTAGCGGTTGGAGGTAGGGTGGTCCGAGGAAGCCCCCAGAGGCCCCCAGAACGCGCCCGGGAGGCCTCCAGATTAAGAAAGCCTGAACAACTTTTTGTGAGGCCCCCGGAGGCATTCCAAGGAGGGTCCTCCGCAAAGAAAAGCTGAGGGGCATGGGGGGAATGCGCAGGGCATGGCGAGAAGACAGAAAATAAGCATGGAGGAAGGATAACGGGTAACATTATTATAACGGGAATGCCAGAAAAGGAAACAAGAAATTTTCGCTCAATTGTCGGCTTGACCTTCCTGCCATTCCGCCTGCACACAAAACTTCAAGGACCAAGGTGCATGGCGCGAAGCGCCACTGCAGTCTTGTATACATCTATGTATGTATACATATATACATACTTACTGAACGCCCGGAATGGGTACGGGAAACAATGGGCACGATGCCAAACAACAAATGTTGTCCAGCCTTGACGGCGGCCGCTGTTGGGCAGGCGGCTTCTGTCTGGAATGGACACGTGCGCGGCGGTGCGGACAGCGAGTCCTGTTCAAACTGAAAAGGAACTGCTGTTGTGCATCGTACCCATTCTCTCAGTACCACTTTCGTTCGTGTCGATACATATATATATATATATATATGTACACATGTATTTACCTATATCCCTATACAAATATGAACTCTGGATATCAGCTCCTCACGGCAGGGCAGCCGCGATGGCAGGCCTGAGGCATGCCATGGGTGGGACAACCACCCCAAGACACGACGGCCGGGGACGAGGGATACGGGGGAGGCTTTAGCAGCAGGGGCCCCCATAGGTAGCGTCGCTCGAGCGTCGATCGCGAACGCACCTGCATTGTTAAGTTCAGCGCGAGGGGGCATTGGGGCGAACGTAGACGAGGGGGCAATGGGGCGAGCGTAGACGACTCAAGCGTCGACGATTCTGGCGGCGACGACGTCGAAGGCGACGACGGTTCCGACGACGGCTTTGGCGATGACGATTGCGACGACGACGACGACGACTCCGACTTCGACGGCGACGGCGGTGATGCCGACACGACTTCAACGAATGACGACTCCTACGGCGACTCCTGCACCGACCACGATGGCGATGACTCCGACGACAGGTAGAGCGATGAGGCTGACGGCGACTCCGATGCTTCCAGCTGTTCCGAGGAGTTGGACTTGGCCTCTGGCAACGACGACGACTCCGACAACGACGTAGCCGATGACGACTACGACGACGACGGCGGCGACGCCGACGACGATAACTCCGACGGCGACCCCGACGCAGAGCCCAACAACGACGATGACGGCGACGACTTCAACGATTCCGACTCTGACTTCGACTCCGACGGCAACGAGTTTGACGACGACGACGACTCCGATGATAACGGCGGCTCTGGCTCTGATTCCGATGACACCGACGACAACTCTGAGGGCAACATCGACAACGACGACTATTACACCGACACTCAGGCGACTCCGACTCCGACTACCTCGGCAACGGCAAGGACGACGGCATTGACGATTGCGACGACTCTGGCGACGATAACGGCGACGACGAACACTCTGACGATGACCCCAACGACGCCCCCGACGGCTCCAAATGTGTCCAACGTCTCCGACTCCGCGGGCGACGACTTCTTCGGCAATTCTCACCATGGCTGCGACGATGACTCTGACGGCGACAAGTCGCGGCTTACGACGACGACGCCGACGCCGATGCCGACGCCGACGACGCCGCCGAGTCGCCCAGGTCCACGTCGGCGGTCAGCGGGAGGCTGCCGCCCTCGGTCTTCGCCCTCTTTGCCTTCTTGTCTTTCTTGTTCGTCTCGCGCTTGCCCGTTCTGCCCTGCTTGTCCTTCTGGCCCTTCTTGCTCTCCAGGCCGTCCTGCTGGCTCTGCTCTCGGTTGACCGGCGCGACCTGGAGGGCATCACCTGTCTTGCCCTTTTTGTCCTTCTTCTCCTTCTTCTCTTTCCGCTCCTTCGCCTCGCCCGCGCTGGGTTCGCCGCTCTCCTTTCTTGCCCTCTTTGCCCTGGGCTCCACGGTGTCGCTTGGACACGCCGCTGGCTCCTTCCCAACGCCCGCTTGGCTCGTGGGGCCCACTCCGCCGCGGGGCATGCACACGTGCAAGCACCACGGCTGCGGTGGGCCCCGTGGGCGGCTCGCATCAGAAAGCGGCCCGCACTCGAGCCAGACTGGGGCAGGGAAGAATCAGGAGCGGCGAACGTGCCCATATCCACGCCATCGCGGTCTGCATCCCGGGGAGCGGTCGCGTAGACACGCGGACGCATGGATGCGCTTCGCGCGGGCCATCCGCGAAAGAACTGCCTGTATCCACAAGGTCGTGGCCCAAAGGCTGGGACCCACGAAGGAACCTGCCCACGCTTGCCTGCTTTGGACTCTCCTGTTCACCACTGTGTTGAGACAGAATTGGAATGGTACCACTCTTGGCAGTGCTGCTGCTATATGGTATGACTGCTGATACTGCAGCCCTTACGCCATTACGACAACTGGCGAACCCGAGCGCGCGGGAGAGGGCAACTACAACGGTACTATTACAATAACGGCATCATAACACTCGGTGGTTGCCCTCCAAGTGCCGTATTCTCATAACATAATAACCAATCGTTACCATAATTAACTCGAACTTGCGGGTACATGCTCTATTCAATGCCCAATTTGTGGCACACTCCGGCAATCTGTGTACGGTGCAACCTGTGTGATGCAACCAATATTGTGCAACATGTGCGACACATCCGATGTGGTGGAAATGAGTGGTGTAATACCTGAGATGTGTATTCCGGGAGGCACAGTTTATTGGGATGTAATTTCGGTGGGACAATACAGGTTATACAGTACTTGCGGTGCAAGTTATGTGGTGCAACATACGCGGTGCAACCAATGCGGTGCAATATGTGTGGTGCAAGGTATGTGGTGCAAGCTTTGCGATGTAATCTATACTGTGCAATCGCTGCGATCCTGCATGTGTGGTGAATGCAATGTGTTGCAGTCTATGTGTGCATCCGAAACCGCCAGCCAGCACACGAGGCGCGAATGGGCGGAAACACTCGAACTGATCTCTTCCAGGAACTGAACGAGGGAGTTTGTAGGAATAGCTGTGACGAGAACCGTATTACTGTCTCTAGTACAGGCTGTAACGAAAGCCGGACGGTTGACTATGTAAGGGCACTGTATAATAATATGAGCGACGATCAAAAACAGGTCTCACGAGAGATGGCATAACGACCTTACGCGGCAGCTCGCGCGGGCCGCCAGCGCGGCACGCCACTTTGGTAACGAGGGCGCTTACGCGCGACTTTACACGGGCATCTTACGCGCCAGTGTCGGCGCAGACGACGCCCTTGTCTGGCGTCGCTGCCATGTCTTGTAAGCTCGGTAGTTGGAGCTGTAGTGTGAGTTGTAGTACTTGATGTCGAGGTAATTTCAGCACGGGGGGCAGCATTCTGAGATGCACTCGAGATATATTGTTAAATGCCGTAGGAGCTGCGGCGCGAATTGCATAAGTGGGTCAAGAGTCAAGCCACGCAAGTGCGAATACTGAGTTGGGCTGCAGATTCCCGCGCCCAGGTGACCGCCGCAATGAGCAGAGGATAGAGACAGAGAGGAACAGAGAGAGAGAGAGGGAAAGAGAGAGAGAGAGAGAGAGTCGAAGAAGGAGCGAGGACTGGTAGCTGGGGTGCCCCAGCTGGGGTGAGATTTCTCCCCTGTGAGTCGCTCAGGGCCGCCAATGTATTTACACACAGGGGAGGTCGCTCTCCCGCCTTCCCCCCCCAATTGCCTTTCCACTATGAAAAAAAAGGTCGGGCGCCGCGCGCGACCGAAATAGAATGGTGATTATGTCGGCTGTTCGGTTGCAGGCACCGAGCAGCAAAATCTGGCGCGGCTGCAACTGCAAGGGGGGGAATGGGGAGGGTGGAGGGGGCGCGGAGGGGGGAGCGGACGAGGGGGGGCGGGCCATGCTATTGCCATGCAGTCGCCATGCGATTGCCGTAGAGTTGCCAGGCAATTGCCATGCCATTGCCATGTTGTTGCCATGCAGTTGTCAGGCGTCTGCCATACTGATGTCACGCAGCTGCCATGTGATCGCCATGACATTGCCATGCAGTTGCCATGCGGCTGCCCTGCGATTGTCTTACAGTTGGCATGCAGTTGCCATGTTGTTGCCATGCAGTTCCAGTGCCAGTGCTGTGCAGTTGCCACGTGATTGCCATGGTGTTGCCATGCGGCTGCCAGGCAGTTTCTGTGCTAATGCCATAGTGTTGCCATGCTATTGCGATGCGATTGCCATGCTATTGCCATGATGTTACCGTACTATTGCCATGTCGTTTCCATGTTATTGCCATGCAGCTGCCATGATATTGCCACGCAATCGCCATGATATTGCCGTACAGCTGCCACGCAGTTGTTATGCTAGTACCATGCAGTTGCCATGATGTTGTCATGCAGTTTGCCTTAAGTGTCATGCAGTTGTCATGGTAGTGCGATGCTGTTGCCGTGCGGTTTCCATGCGATTGCCATGCAGATGCCTTCCTATTGCCGTGCTGTTGCCATAGAGTTGCCATGCCTAGGTTGGCCTCTGGTGTGGTTGTCCGGTGTTGCCTTTTTTGTTCTGTGCCCCTGCTACGTTACTGCCAAATTACTGTTATGATGTTGGCACGCTAGTGCCATACTATTGCCACCATGCCTGTACCATCTTCTTGACGCTACGCGTATCCCCACCAGCAGCTTTGTCGGCTTTGGCAGATAAGGTTGTCGGTCAGGCACCATTGGGCGCTCGTGCGAGACGTCGACCGCAGTCACAGGAGTGCCTTCGTAATGCGCAGCCGCACACCGCCCTGGTACCAGGGTTCTCGTCGGTCGCTTCCATGGTGGTTAATTTTTTGGGGCTGCGGCCCGCACTCCCCTCAATTGCGTGCGGCTGACCGTCGTTCCAAGTGAGTGAGTGGTTTGGCTCTGTTCTCCTGGCAGTCCGGCTCCACCCGCGGGTCTGGCTCTTTTTTGCTCCCCCTCCCCCTCGCTGGCACACGTTCAGCGGCCGGTTTGCGGCCTTATCGCTGGCAGGAGCTCAGCGTTGCTTTTGCTGCTGGCACACGTTCAGCTGCTTCTCGGCCGGCTCAGTGCTGCGCCATTAATTATCTGCTTCCCGTGCGCTGCTGTCCCAGCCTCGTTGTTACCGCCCTCTGGACTTTTCCTTGCGGGCCGCGAATCAAAAAGTATCCCCACCAGGTGGGCCGGCCGGTGGCATCGCCCTCTGATCATGGCTTCCAAATCCTGTGGTGCTCACGGCGTCAGGTTTACTCTTCCCGTTCGGCACTTCCCCCTTTCGCCGACCTGACCGACACTTGGTAGGTGACGTCGACTTCCCGTGAAGCGGACCTGCGTCGGTCGCCGACGAGCGCAGGGTGCTATGTGAATGAGTCCTCTTTCGGTTTGCTTTCTCCCCCCCCGGCTAGTCCTATTTCTGGTCGGATGTTGTTAGGACAGTCGGTCGGATGTTCTGGCCTGGTCTCGCTGCGTCCTGATCTGCATGCCTTCCGTTCGCGTCGTCCCCCCCCGCCGCCTTTGCTGCTTTTGCCCGGGGGCCCCAGCGGCTGCACGGGTATAGGCCCTGTGCGTGCTGCGGTTTGCAGCTTGTGGTTGTTTCGCTTGCGAGCCGGCGCCGTCAGGGCGACTCCTCGTTGGCTCTCGCTGTCATTCGCTCTCTGCATGTGCACTTGCCTGCCGGTCTGCTTGGCGCGGTCTCCAGCCGTTGGGCTGTGGTCTTGCCGCATGGCCTGGCAGTCTCGATTGCGAGCTGGCGCCGTCAGGGCGACTCCTCGTTGGCTCTCGCTGTCATTCGCTCTGCATGTGCACTTGCCTACCGGTCTGCTTGGCGCGGTTTCCAGCCGTTGGGCTGTGGTCTTGCCGCGTGGCCTGCGTCTCCAGCAGCTTGGCAGCATTAATTATCTGGCACTGTGCCCCAGTTTGCTCGATTACCACGCCCTCTGGACTTTTCCTTGCGGGCCGCTGATCAAAATAAATATCCCCACCAGCCCGTTGCGACTTTCTCCGTTGCACTCGCACTGCTGTCTGCTTCACTTCGGTGTGGCCGGCGCCTATGTGCGTTTGCCTTAATGCGGGGCATTTTGCTCAGTGCATGTGCACACCACGCATCGCGTGTAATTTGCCGTGGTCCGTAGTCCCGGACATCGCTGTTGCCGGCTGACCTTTGTCGCGCGGCCGCCAACCAAAAAGTATCTCCATCAGCCCGTCCAGCAAGAATGCCCAGACGAGTTGCCATGATCAGAGAGGTGGGGGGAAGATGGAGGACAAATCTGAGGAGACAGAGGAGGACACGGAGGAGGAGGAGGGGGAGGAGGAAGAGGGAGGAAGAGGGAGGAGCGATAAGAAATTAGAAGAGGCGGATGAGGACGAGGTGGGCGAGCAGAAGGGCAAGAGGCCGCTTGGATGTCCCTCGGAGTCAGTCTCTTGCGATTCCTCTTGGGAGTTTCTTGGAGGCCTTTTGGAGCGTCTTGGGGGCCTCTTGGCGGTCCCGGGGACCTCTTGGAGCGTCTTGGTGCATCGGGGGAGCCTCTTGGGGCATTTGGGGGGCCGCTCGGGAGCCTCTTGGGGGCCTGTTGGGGCTTCCTGGGCGCGTCTTGGGGCCCTGTTGGGGCATTTTGGAGAGCCTTGGTGGCCCTCAGGAAGGCTCCAGAGGGGGGTGGGAGGGGTGGTGGAGGGGGGGTGGATGGAGGGGGGGGGGCGCGGAGTTGAGGGTGGAGGGGGGGGGGCGGGCGGGCCATGCCAGTGCCATGCGCTTGCCATGCTGTTGCCATGCGATCGCCATGCTATTGCCATACAGTTGTCATGTCTTTGCCATGCTGTTGCCACGCGGTTGCCGTGCAGTTGACGTGCAGTTGCCATGCAATTGCCATGCAGTTGCCATGCTATTGCCGTGCTGCTGCCTTGCAGTTGCCATGCTATTGTCATGCGATTGCCATGCCATTGCCATGCTGTTGCCATGCAGCTGCCATGCAATTGCCATGCACCTGCCACGCTGCCGCCATGCTGTTGCCATTCGATTGCCATGGCACGAGTGTGCGAGTGTGCGCGGCGCCAAGGCGCGCGCCCCATTTTGAAACTAACGCCCTGCATCCGTCTGTCGGGAAGTTGGAAGACCAACATGCTTGGCACCAAGGCGATCGTCCCATTTCGAAAACGAGCCGCCCTCATTCTGCGTAAGTGTTGTATCGTTTGAAGGCCAGTGCGCACAGCGCCAAGGCAAGCGTCCCATTTTGGAGATCACACTCCACCCGTGTAGATGCTGGAAGTTTCAAGCTTCAGGGCTATGAACGGTGAGGAAGCCTCAGGCGAAACGCCCAGACCGCCCGAACGACCAGGCCGGGGTGCGACAGGGAGGAGGTATCTAGAAGGAGAAGGGGTTAAGGATGAGGATGAGGTGCAACAGTTGCCGTGACAGTTGCCACAGCAACAGATGTCATGGAAGTTGCCACGGCAACTGGGTCCATAGATGGCAGTGGCAACTGTTGCCATGGCAGCTGCTGCCAGGGCTCCCCAGAGCGAAGGGTGCCCTGTGCTCGCTCGGGCAGGCTCCTGAGGCGCTCTGTCTGTGCACGTTGCCAGCGCATGTAGTAATACTTGTGCAATGTGATTGCGATGCAATTGCCATGCAGCTGCCAGGCTATAACATGACATCGCGGCAACTGCAGGGCAAGTGCCATGCAGTTGGAGTGCCAGTGCCATGCAATTGTCATGACGTTGCCATGCAGTTGTCATGTTGTTGCTATACAGTTGCAATGCCGTTGTCATGCTGCTATCATGCTGTTGCCATGCTATTGCCATGCCTATGCTATGCTCTTGCAATGGTGTAGGGATGCTATTACAATACTGTTGCAATGCCGTTGCCATACCAATGCCATGCTGTTGTCATGCCGTTGCAATGTTGTTACAATGCTGTTGCCATGCGGTTGTTGCCATGCTGTTGCCAGGTTGTTTCCAGGTTGTTGGCATGTGATTAATTGTGCTGCTGCCATACTGCTGATACGCTGTTGCCATTACATTGCTATGCTACTGCAGTGCCGTTGTCATGCCGTTTCCATGCCATTGCCATGTTGTTGCCATTATGTTGCTATGATGTTACCATGCCATTGCCATGCCGTTGCCATGCTGTTGCCATGCAATTGGCATGTTGTTGCCATGTTGTTGCCATGCCATTCCCATGCTGTTGTCATGCTGTTACGGTGCTACCGCCGTGCTATTGCCATGCAGTTGCCATGTTGTTGCCATGCAGTTGCCTTACCGTTGCAATTTGTTGTTGCCATGCTGTTGCAATGCTGTTGCAGTGCTACTGCCGTGCTGTTGCCGTGCTGCAGTCAAACCATTGCCATGCCATTGCCATTATGGTGCCATGATGTTGCCATGCTGCTGCCAGTATGTTGCCACGCCGTTGCCATGCTGTTGCCGTGCCATTGCCATGCCGTTTCCATGGTGTTGCCATGTTGTCGCCATGCTGTTGTCATGTTGGATGTCATGCTTTGGCAATACAATTACCAGGCTGGTGCCATGCAGGTGTCATGCCATTGCCATGCAGTTGCCATGTTATTCCCGCGTGTTTGCCATGCTGTTGCTATGATGTTACCATGCCATTGCCATGCCGTTGCCATGCTGTTGCCATGCAATTGGCATGTTGTTGCCATGTTGTTGCCATGCCATTCCCATGCTGTTGTCATGCTGTTACGGTGCTACCGCCGTGCTATTGCCATGCAGTTGCCATGTTGTTGCCATGCAGTTGCCTTACCGTTGCAATTTGTTGTTGCCATGCTGTTGCAATGCTGTTGCAGTGCTACTGCCGTGCTGTTGCCGTGCTGCAGTCATACCATTGCCATGCCATTGCCATTATGGTGCCATGATGTTGCCATGCTGCTGCCAGTATGTTGCCACGCCGTTGCCATGCTGTTGCCGTGCCATTGCCATGCCGTTTCCATGGTGTTGCCATGTTGTCGCCATGCTGTTGTCATGTTGGATGTCATGCTTTGGCCATACAATTACCAGGCTGGTGCCATGCAGGTGTCATGCCATTGCCATGCAATTGCCATGTTATTCCCGCGTGTTTGCCATGCTGTTGTCATGATGTAGCCATGCCGTGGACATGCCGATATTATCTTGCCATGTCGTTGCCGTGGGGTTGCCATGCTGTTGCCATGACGTTGCCATGATGTTGCCATGCTGTTGCCATTATGTTGCCGTGCGGGTGCGATGCTGTCGCCATGTTGTTGCCGGGCCGTAGCCATGTCGTGTCCATGGTGTTGACATGCGGTTGCCCACGCTATTGCTATGGTGCTGTCATGCTGTTGCCATGCTGCTGCCACGCTGTTGCCATGCTGCTGTCATGCTAGTGCCATGCCAATCCCGTGCCGTTGCCAAATTGTTGCGGGGCTATTGCCGTGATATTGCCGTGTTGTTGCCATGCTTCTTCCATGTTGTTGCCATGCCATTGCCATGCTACTGCCATGCCGATGTCATGCCGTTGTCATGCTGTTGTCATGCTGTTGCGGAGCTATTGTCGTGATATTGCCATGCTGTTGCCGTGCTGCTTCCACGCCAGTGCCATGACGTTGCCATGATGTTGCCATGCCGTGGACATGTCGTTGCCATGCGATTGCCGTGCTGATGTCCTGCGGTTGTCATGCTGTTGCCATTATGTTGTAATGTTGGTGCCATGTCATTGCCATGACGTTGCCATGATGTTCCCATGGTGTTGCCATGCTGTTTGCATGCTGTGGCCACGCTGTGGCCATGATTCGGTCATGCTGTTGCCACGCCGTTGCCATGCTGTTAACATGCTGTTACGTTGCTATCGCCGTTCTACTGCCATGCAGTTGCCATGCTGTTTCCATAGTGTTGCCATGCTGGTGCCATGCTGGTGCCATGCTGTTGCCATGGTGTTGCCGTGCTGCTGCCACGCGGTTGCCATGATGTTGCCATGCTGTTGCGTTGGCCATGCTGTCGCCATGCTGTTGCCACGCCGTTGCCATGCTGTTGCCTTGCTGTTTCGATGCCATTGCCGTGTCGTTACCATGCTGGTGCCATGTTGGTGCCATGCTGGTGTCACGCTGCTGCCATGCTGTCCCCATCAAGTCTGCCCACATGTCTCGAGTGAAATTCGCAGCGCGGAAACTAACTACAAACGCCGGCAAGCCGCCCGGCCTATGACAGAAGAGCTGTCTATCTTTCATTGCGTCGTGGCTCTTGCGGCGTACAGCAGGACGCCCGGGATCTCGGGTGCAGTTCTGCCTGAGGGAGAAGGAGGAGGAGGGAGGGTTGAGGACGGACTGCGAGCCGTTGGCAGGCTGGCGTGGATACCCAGGTACAACTATTAAACACCGGATGTGCAAATCGGAGCACTGCCAGCCATGGCGCAGGGACATCCATTGAGTCATGGTCCTCAGGGAGAGGACGCCATGTCAAACTGGCAGGGCGGCCAGCGCCGCTCTGACGCCCCGTGGGCGGAATGTGGCGAAAGGAGCAGTCCAGGGTCCTCCTCGTCGTCGTCCTCCTCCTCCCTGTGCTTCCTCCGCCATTCCTTGCTCGCCTAGAATCCTCATCACGCAGTGCAGGCTAGAAGACTCAGAAGAAGGAACAATCACACAGATCCACGTGGACGTCCGAAAATCTGTGCTCATGCAAAAGCTACTTCTTCGGATCACGCGGCGCAAGCGAGGAAGGCCAGCGCTACCGCGAGGACCCCTCACCGCAGCAACGCTGACACCAACAGGACTATCATGAAGGCGCTGCTGCATGCAGGAGCAGTACTCGTGGAAGTGATGAAACACCCGAAACACATGTATTGAGAGAACTGAGAGCAACCTGGAACGCAATAATCACCCGGCTCAGCAAAGTACCCGTCGTCGCAAGCGGCGTAACCTTCACAATCCCGGTTCGAGTCTGCACACGCATCGCAGGACAACGTGTGGCACTCCCCCCAGAACAGGTAGCCATTTGCGTGGCAATCGGCCTCGCACGAATTCGAATAGGTCACGCCATCGTATCCACAGACCGGGTCCCAGTAATCCTCGCAGTCACATTCACTTGCGCATTCCCCCCAGTACTGGTAGCCATTCGCGTAGCAATCGGCCTCGCACGAGTTCGAATAGGTCATGCCATCGTATCCACAGACCGGGTCCCAGTAATCCTCGCAGTCACATTCACTTGCGCATTCCCCCCAGTACTGGTAGCCATTCGCGTAGCAATCGGCCTCGCACGAGTTCGAATAGGTCATGCCATCATATCCACAGACCGGGTCCCAGTAATCCTCGCAGTCACATTCACTTGCGCATTCCCCCCAGTACTGGTAGCCATTCGCGTAGCAATCGGCCTCGCACGAGTTCGAATAGGTCATGCCATCATATCCACAGACCGGGTCCCAGTAATCCTCGCAGTCACATTCACTTGCGCATTCCCCCCAGTACTGGTAGCCATTCGCGTAGCAATCGGCCTCGCACGAGTTCGAATAGGTCATGCCATCGTATCCACAGACCGGTTCCCAGTAATCATCGCAGTCGCACTTGGAACACGTATCGCAACAAGTGTGGTAAAACTGAAAATCTTCGCACCAGCCCCAGGTCATGGCCTCATAGCAGCCACTGGCCCCTGTTGCAAGCGATGCTGAGACGTCCTCGTCTCCTTGGCAGGTGGTCGTGCTGCAGGTGGCGCAGCACACGTGCGACAGCCAGTAGTTCTGCTCAGGCTGAAGGCAAAGTCCTGCTATATCCGAGCAACCGCTGAATGGATATCCCAATTGGGCGAAGGTCTCTACGACCCAGTCGTCATAGTCTACGCACTGGTCCATGGCGCCACTGCACGTGTCGCAACAAATTGAACGATGCAACGTGTCGTAGCATTCTGCGGCTGTATCGGTGCACTCTTCTCCGAAAAAACTCAAGGCCACTTCATCTTTGTCGCCCTCGCAAGTCCATTCTCCGCCTCCGCAGGCACAGCACGCTTCAGTAGGCATATGCCCCATGAACGAATAGTTTTCAAACGTGCCCCATTCATACTCCCAAGACGAAGGGTACTCACCAGATGGTATGCACCAGCCTTCCTGACTCCACTGTAAGCAGGTCGAACCAAAAGGTGAGACCCAGTCGTCAACGTCTTCACAGGTCTGATACGCAGGGTACACCCTAATGGATCGTATAGTGTCGTAGTCGATGCCGACGTGCGCAACAGCAATGTCTTCGTAGAATGGTCCCCACCTTGTTCCTGACCCTTGCGCCCAGTCTGAGACATCCATGGCACACCCTGCTGACAGTTCGATGGTGTCAATGCAATTGCACGTATCGGTCCACATAGCCGACGTGTACGGTCCGCAAGGGTCCTCTGTGCACGTCAAGTTGTCCCCGCATGAGCAGTAGGCTTGGGCTACGCAACCGTTATCCGATGAAAGCGCTCTCCCTACCGAAGGTAACAGATCGCCACACTTGCCCGTATACGCAACCTTGGCACTAGAGCAATGGGCTTGGCAAGCGCTGTCGTAGGTCAGCCCGTTATCACCGCAAACTGGGTCCGAGAAGTCGCAGTTGCAATCTGAAGCTCCCGACGTCAGAGCCCGTCCATTGTGAGCATTGGGCAACGCTTGAATCCGTCGGAAGAGCTCGCCGCTCTTGCCCCGTGGGACTTGCACGTTCGCCTGCAAGCACGCCACGTGATTGCCGGCAGCATCGATGGCTCTGATCTTCAACCTGTAGGCGCCAGCTAACACCATCGGCGGCAGCTCGTCAAGGGCGAAGCGCAGCTCGATATTGCCAGCGGGAAGGGGGCAGCCACGTTTGCTGTGGCTCCTGCCAAAGTGTTTGCACAGCTCCTCCTCGTACTTGTGAGGGACACTGTGCCACGCGAGCTCGCGCTTCATCCAATCTGCAGTGGACAACCCTCCGGCAGCCGATCCCTTGTACATCTTCACGCTGACTGTGCCCCCCGACACGCTGCGCGAGAGGTTCCCGTAGGCGCGCACCTGGAGGTGGGCGCGGCTGAACTCCGTGCGCGCAACGTGCATCACGTCCATCTTTTCGCCACAGTCCTCGACCTGGATTCCAGCACCGTGATCGAGCATATCCGCCACTGTGGTGACATCGCTCTTGTCGCTACCATCTGTCGCCATGTCGTCGAGCAGGCCCCAGAATGCGTCGTTGACCTTGTTGCCTCCGCCGACCGTCGCCAAAGAGAGGGCGGCCAAGACCGAGCGAGCCGTCACCGAAGCCATTGGAAGCATGGTCCCGCGACGCGTTCCACAGTCCGGCTGCCTTCGCAGAGCCGCTAGCACAAACACTGTGTTCCTGGACCCTGAATATTGAGCCAAATTTGCTCTGGAGTGGTGCGAATTACATTGCAAGCTGTACTGGTTCCTGTGATTGGATTTCCAGCAGGACCTGTAAGAGAACGTGTGGAAAGAGCTGTTGTAGGAATTGTATGATGAGCTGTAGTGAGACCTGTACTGCTGATTGCACTGTGAAGTTGCGTATGTGCTTTTCTTTCTTATCGTAACAGAACAAAGAAGCTGAGGTCGGGGCTGCAACGAAAAAAGTTGCAGTGAGAGTCGTGTTGATGGCTGCAGTAAGACTTGCAATGGGAGCTGTAAGAGAAGACGTAGTAGAGCTTCAATAGATATTGTAGCAGGAACGGTGGCAATGATTGTGGCAGAAGCTGTAGTGCGAGCTGCGAGAGCTGAGCTGGCTGTCGTATGGATTGTTGTAGGAGCTGTACTGTGAGCTGTACTGACTGCCCTGTGAATGCTTGTAGTCGGATCCGTAGCCAATGAGGGGCGGAAGAGCGCAGCATACGATAAACAGGGACAGGGGCGGAAGAGCGCAATGAGGAAGGGAACAGGAAATATGAGCAGCGTGAGGGTCACGACGAAGGCGAGGAAAAATATGAATCACCAAGCACAAGGCAACATGTACCATCACTAAGGGTGGGAGCATATATATATATGTATATATACATACATATATATTTGTTTAAGTACATACATGTGTGTCACAGTCATATACAAGACTGCAGTGGCGCTTCGCGCCATGCACTTTGGTCATTCGAGTTCCGCGCGCAGGCGGCGTGCGTGCGCGTGCACATGCGCGCACACACATACATGTCATACGCGCGCACGCGCATGCACGCCATACATCTGTAGACGCATATGTATATATATATATATATATACATATATGTGCGTGTGTGACTCTATTGATGTGCATACAGACATATGTACATACATATATTCAATATTGCGCAAACGTGTGTATCATATAGTCATGGCATTTCTAGTGTACACAGACGCATGTACATATATGTGTATACATAAACATGTATATACGAATTTGCAAGTCTGTAGATGTGTACATGTACGCGGTCGTGGCCACAAAATTGGGGGACAAACGCGCAATAAAGGGCTCGCGGATGCCGGGAGACTTGGGTAGGACACGGCATGGACGACACGGCAGAATGTGGAACGGCGACCTGGGCTTACCAATGGCCGGGTCTTTGGGACTATGGAAGGAGCCGTGTGAGGGCCGTGGAGGGCCTCGGGGCCGTGTCGCACCGGGGTTCGACGCTGAAGTTGTTTTGCGCCGCCGTACTCTGTTGGGAGGCCTCGCGTTCAGAGTGTTAACGTCACGTGGAGTTTATTTGAGCCTCCCAGAACCTTCTGAGCGCCTCTTTGGGGCGTGGTGCAGTCCCGTTATGGCTTGGACCCGTCATGGGCCGAGTCTTGGCTCTGTTGGGCTGTCTTGGAATAATGTTCGGGTTCCTGGCCCGTTTTGGGTCTGTCTTGGGGGTGTTTTTGGCGTTTCCGGGTTTTTATTTGGTCCGTGCGGGATGTTTTTTTTGGATTCTTGGGACTTCTCGGGGGTTCCTGAAGGCCTCCTGGGTGCCTCCTGGAGCCTCTTCAGGGCCTCTTGGGAGCCTCGTGGGGCCTCCTGGGGCCCCGTCGGGACTGTCTGGGTGCCCTCTTGGGCCGGTTTGGGGCCCTCTTGGGCCTGTGTGGGGCCCTTGGAGGTCTGCGGGGTCGTCTTCGGGCGATCTCGGGGGCGTCGCGGGTCGTATTGGAGCGTCGGGGAGCCGAAAAGGAAAAACGCACACATCCCTCACAAACAAACAGGAAAACAATTATTTGTGCCTCGCGGGGCTTTCTTGCGGGGCCTTCTTGGGGGTGATATTTTGGGACTCTTCGGGGCCTTTTGGGGTTTCACGAGGGCCTCTTCGGGGCCTCTTGGGGCCTCCCGGGGCCCTGTCGGGACTGATTCGGGGCCCTCTTGGGCCGGCTTGGGGCCCTCTTGGAGGCATGTCGGGCCGGGGGGCCTCTTGGGGGCCTCGGGTCTCTTCGTGGCCTCTTGGGGCCTCCTGGGGAGACCGGTGCGGGAGTTCCGACGAACGAACCCCTCCTGAAACCTTCCTGAGGAAGGTTTTAGGAAGGTTTTCCCGGGGGGGAGGGGGTGGGGGGAGCGAGGAAGGTTTCAGGAAGTGTTTCGAAAAACCGTTCAAAAACCTTCCAAAAACCTATCACCAAAAAAGAAACCCTAAAACCTTCCAAACAACCTTCCGAACAACCTTCCACAACCGTAGGGGGGAAAAAAAAACGTCCTAAAACCTTCCTAAAAACTTCCGAAAACCTTCCAAAATAACCTTCCTAAAACCTTCCCCAGGAAGGTTTCAGGAGGGGTTGGCCCAAACACCTCCCAAAAACCTTTTTGAGGAAGGTTATAGGAAGGTTTGTTGGAAGGTTTTGGGAAAAACCTTCCCGGAACCTTCCTAAAATCTTCCTCCGGAAGGTTTTTGGAAGGTTGTTGGGAAAAACCTTCCTGATACCTTCCTAAAACCTTCCTCCGGAAGGTTATTGTTGTAAGGTTTTTGGAAAAAAAGCTTCCTGAAACCTTTCCAAAACCTCCCCCAGGAAGGTTTCAGGCAAGTTTTTGTTTGGAAAAACCTCACTGAAACCTTCCTAAAACCTTCCTCAGTTATATATATATATATATATATATATATATAACGGTTGTTGGATAAACAACCTGCCCGAAACCTTCCCAAAACCTTCCCAAGGAAGGTTATTTGTCGTGTTATTATTATTATTATTACTATTATTACTATTATTACTATTACTATTATTATTATTAGTAGTATGATTATTATTATTATATATTATATGTTATAGATTTTGATATATTTTTGTTTGTATATATATATATACA